GTCAATTCAACAAACAGTTATTAAGTTTTGTTACATGTAAGACACTGTTTTTATAGAGATTTGAATGATCAGGGCACCACCCTCTATCCAGCTTCTGGGTAAAATGGAGCATGCCTGTTGCGGTGGGGGTGGGTGGGTGGAGAAGCCGCAGAGACAGCTAGGGCCGTTTGGACACACACCCTCTTCAGGAGGAAGGTACTATTATTATCTCTGTTTTACAGTTGAGGAGACCAAGGCAGAGAGAGAGGTTAAGTAACCTGCCCAGGGTTACACAGCTAGTAGATGTCTGAGGCCAAATTTGAGTTTGGGTCCTCCTGACTCCAGGCCCAGGGCTCTGTGCACTATGGTACCTCCTAGCTGCCCTCTTAAAACCCATGAAAGGAACCCCACTGATCACTTCAGTTTTTTAAAACCTTCACTCATTGCTTCCTTGATAACCTCATTTTCCCAGGCATTCACGGCCTATTGTAGTCCATCTCCTAACCCTGTCTAGTTCTGCTCACACAGACTGTATTCCAGCCCTCCATCTTTTTTGCTTTTGCTCCTCTCTCCTACCAGTTCATGCTTAGGCAGATTGCCCTCATCTCTACCTATGGAAATCTTTCCCTCCTCAAAAGATCTAGATACCTCCAGTACTTCTAGTGGAAAGAGATCTCTCCTTCAGGTTCTTGTGTTTGTACCATTCTGCTCAGGGTAGTTATTTGTGTTGCTGTTCTACCCCTAGTGTGTGGTGTGTATGGGGAGGGGGGTGTGTAGGTGTGTAGGTGGTGCAGTGGATAGAGCACTGGCCCTGGACCTGAGTTCAAATCCGGCCTCAGACATGTGATACTCACTAGCTGTATGACCCTGAGCAAGTCACTTAATCCCAATTGTCTCACCAAAAAAAAAAAAAAAAAGAACATTGGGTTTGGGATCAGAGCCCTGGGCTCACATTCAGCTCTGGCTGTGTGACCCTGTCACTAAATGAGTCCCTTTAGTACGTGCCTCCCAAGGTTGTTGTAAAGCACTTAGCACAGTGCCTGGCACGTAGCAGGTGCTACATTTTTTTGGTTGATAGTAGATGATTAATAATTGTTGAATTGAATTTTATCCTTCATGGCCTATCTTAATTGTCCTTTCCTCTTGAAAGTTTTCCTTGATCTTCCTTCCTCTGAGCTCCCATAACTTTGTTTATTCTTCTTTCATGACCATTATCATGGTAGGCCTTGGAGTGTGTGATTGATGAAAGTGAAGCTTGGCTAGAGCTGCCAGCATGAAGATACACATGTAGTGTTCTTATTTTACAAATGAGGCGCTTTAGCCTCAGAAGGTCAAAATGACTGCCCAGAGTCAGCCAGGGCATCAGGTATCCAAACCTACGCCTTGTGAGAGCCATGTAAGCAGTCTTTCCAAAGCCTCTGCTGCACTTTCTTTCTGCAGCCTGGAATGGAAGCTATGGAATCAGCATCTGGCTCCTTTGGTCAGTGTGTTCTACAGCTAAATAAATGATACTTTTCTCAGTTGCTTTCTTCCAAAGTTCCATTTTTCTTTAAAATCATCAGAGCTTGGTGGTGTTCTGTGTTTGCCGACATGTGGTGATGCAGTTTCTTAGTCTGGGCCACAGTGTCCAGTGAAATAGGCTCATTTCAGGCCAGAGACATGTCAGCTAGTTGTCAACAGTAGACAGATCGAGGTTCTGACCTCCTCTGTGCTCTGGAATTAATCTGTTCCCTGCTTTTCCCTTCTGCTTACAAGGGGGACGATTGCCCCTCCTTGCCTTATCATGACAAGGAGAAGAGGAATGATATTTGAGCATTTTGGGAACCCTTGAATCAGGATGGTGTTAATTTGATTTATCATCATGGGAGAAATGCTGTGGGCGTCAGGCCTGCCCAGCGTGGCTGGAGAATCATGGCGGTTCTTTTTTGTGTGCCTGGGAGTCTCCATTATTTCTGCTCTGAGGCCTGTGTTTAACTCTGCTTTCACTTCTATTTGTGTTCCAAGCATCATGTTTTGGCTTTCCTTCTAGGAAGCGACAAAGAGAAGAAGAGATTGAAGCACAAGAAAAAGCAAAGAGAGAAAGAGAATGGCAGAAAAACTTTGAGGTAAAACTCAGGTGGATCATGTGGGGCCAGAGGACTTCCCCAGGCAGCCCTGGTGCACAGAACAGACGAGTCCAGGGCACCATAGCAAGGCATGGCAGAGCTGGGCCTACTCTCCACATTGCCTGCCTCCTAGCCCAGCTTTTCTACTATAATTTTTTTTACTGTGTTAGCTCTTGAGTTAAATGACTCATCTGGGGTCACAGGGTTAATTGGTCAAGGGAAGATTAGTAGCCAGTCTCCCAGTTCTTAATGTATTTCTGGTATTCTACTGAATTTAGAAGACAAATAAAATGCCTCCTTTTGGAGGCTTTTCCTGGATCTTGATACCTTCCCCCCCCACCCCTACCCCATTAGAAGTGAATTTTGCTTCCTCTTTGCCTCCCATAAGACTTTTGTACTTGATTTTTGGTCATAATCCTATCTGCCCTGTGCTTTAGTTATTCGTGGAAAAGATGAGTAGACAAAGGAGCCTCCCTTGGGGTGACTCTGGAGGGGAGGTCCTCTTCCTGTTCCGCAGAGGCACAGACTGTCTTCTGCACGAACTTTGGGTACCAAAGTACCAGACTCCCCAGAGAGAAGAGGGGTGGGCTACTGAGGTGTGATGGGGGCCCCGTCCCCACTTCTCAGGTCCCTCTTCCATTTCCCCCTCCACTGTGGTGGAGCCCAAAGACATTGTCTCAGCCTTCCTGGCCTTGACCACCTGACTGGAAGCTGGTCTGAAGGGGTCTGGCCTTTATGAAACGACAAGAAGTTTGGCATAGGTCACCTTTAAAGTCTTTCACATTTCTAACATTTCAGGCTCTGATGTTCTGTGTGCAAAAGTGCCCACCCCCACCCCCCACCCCCACCTGGGAAAACTGGCCAGCAGTAGCTTGCCTGCAGGCAGACATGGGGAAAATCATATTGTCCCCCTCTCATCCCCAGCCAGGTTCTGAGACAGCCCACGCTGGAGGCTTCTCGGGCTGGGCCGCTGAACCAGAAATGTGCTCATCCCCTGTGTTTGTGTATCCAAACCATACTGTGGTTCAAGGCCCATCTCAAGTGGTCACACCAGGGCAGTTGTACTGATTCTCCTTTGTTCATGTTTGTGTTCATGTTCATGTCTGTCCCATATATTTTGTATATTGTCTCATGTGGCTTTTTCCCATGTGTCAGTCTTGTCTCCCCAACAAGATGGATAAGGTCGTCATTGGCAAGGGCAGACTTCTAGCATAGTATGAGACATGCTAGGTGTACTGTGAATACTTTTTGTCCTCACACCCCCTTCTAAAACTGTCATTTCTGGTAGTGTGGGTCACCAGGGCAAGATAACAGCATGTCATAGCACATTGGACAAATGGTCAAGATGAAGGTGGTTTTCTAAAGACGGCAATAGAAATGGTGGCAGATGGTGCTGAGAGGAGCTGGGGGCACAGCAACTCCTATTTTCTTAGTGGCTTTCATGCTTACAAAGCAATTTCCCCTCAGTATTCCCGTGAGGATGGCGGGAGGGTAAGTGCTCTCCTCATTCCATATATGCAGAAATAGGCTCAGAGGTGAAGGGCTGGTGGGAGCCGGGCATGTTCCTGGTCTCAGGTACAGCATGGCAGACAGAGGCATAACTTGGGACTTGCATACATACTTGCGTAACTTGCAGCAGATTGCACTTTGAGATGTTCAGGGTGTGCCCTAGATTCTAAAGCCCTTCCAAGGATTCTAGAGGAGGATAAGGGCTTCTTCAAGCTCCTGATTGGGAGCAGGGCACCTAGCCAAAACAACCTTATTGCCACCTGTAGTTCAGCAGGTCTTTTCTAACACAACTCACTTGTCCTCCATTCCACTTATATCTTCTGTTTTTTGGGAGACAGGGTTAAGCCTCTTGGTCTGGGAAGGCTGTAGCTGGGCTATCTTGGGCTCTTGGTTATACGCCTGTGAATGGCCGGGCCTTGGGGGCATGGCTGCTTCTTCTTTTTTTTGGGGGGGGGCTAGGCAATGGGTTTAAGTGACTTGCCCAGGGTCACGCAGCTAGTAAGTGTTAAGTGTCTGTGGCCGGCTTGGAACTCAGGTCCTCCTGACTCCAGGGCCGGTGCTCTATCCACTGCACCACCTTGGTGGGAGTGGGGGTGTGTGTGTGTGTGTGTGTGTGTGTGTGTGTGTGTGTGTGTGTGTGTGTGTGTCTGTCTGTCTGTCTGTCTTCTTTTTTCCTCTCTGTGAAACCTGACAGATGGACGGCTAGAGGAGGACCCCTAGTCCCTTAGATTGGAGTCATCGAACCCACAGGTAAAGCTCTTCCTTTTGCTGACAGCCATCTGATTCTAAAACTCTTTGTACTCAGGAAAGTCGAGATGGGCGTGTGGACAGTTGGCGAAATTTCCAGGCAAACACAAAGGGAAAAAAGGAGAAGAAAAATCGGACCTTCCTGAGGCCACCCAAAGTAAAAATGGAGCAGCGAGAGTGATGTCAGGGGCTGCAGCAACAGAGCCTTTCCCTCCCTCTGCTCTTTCCCCTTCCTACTTTGAAGGACTCATCCCCCACATAGAATAGTCTTGGCTTTTTAGTCCATTGGTTTTCAGTATAATTTAATATTGATCAGAATAATTCTTTTGTACATGGAAACAAGGAGCCTGATTTAATAGCAGCCCGGCTCGGTCCCCCGCCACTGTCGAGGGTGTGGGAGGGGGAGGGCAACGCCCACCTCTGTTGCTGTTTGTAATTTAATGTTTTGTACTTCACTGAATTGTGACCTTTATGAACTTCATGTAGAGTGTGTGGAAATCATCTCATTAAACCAGTTGCTTAAAATGGTGTTGGGTGACTTAGGAGAAGTCTGCCTTTAGGGAAGTCATCCCTTCCTTCAAATGCCCATTCCTAGGCAAGCGTCCAGCTGAAGCCCAGCCTGCGTGTCTTGTGTTGGATGGGGAAGGAAGCAGTGTCTGATTGGAGTGCTCGTGTCACCCCCAGCTCCTGCCGTCTGTGCTCAGAACCAGCCCTTGCCCCTGAGTGGCTGATGTCGTGTCGAGACCAGAGCCACCATCACCTGTTTGATTTCCAAAGAGCTTGCGGCCATCTTCCATCTAGCACAACTCTGTCCTAGCGTGTTTACCTTTAGTTAGTGGCTATTCTGTATGTATAATAAATTTTTCTACCAAAACTACTGGTGCATTCTCTCTCAGCCATTATTTCGAAGGCCTTTCTCTCTCTGGCCTGTCCGTACCTGCTCTGAGCCAGCTTGGGGTATGGTACCTTTGTCTTCCAGGGTGGCAGATCACCTAAGTGTCGGGGGATTTTGCACTGGGGAACGATTAGAAAATTAGAGTAATGTTGGTATTCTTCAGCTCTTCGTTGAGATGAAAAATAGGATTGCTGTGACTCCCAGTGTTGGTTCCACCTTGTAGTCGGCAGAGGCTGTGAATAGCTGACCTTTGCGTCTTGAGTAGACCCTGGTGGCTGGGCGGACCTCAACAATCTTGCGTCTTCCTTCCTCTTTGTCACTCTCCTGCCATTAGCTAGGGAAACGTGAGAGGGAGGAAAAGTTAATTAGCCCCACCCATTCTTGGTCACTTGGGTACGGAAGGCTGGAGCTGCCTGTGGACAGAGCAGTGTCCCTGGGCATGCCTGAGGGACAGGCTTGTCAGCTGCTGATGGGGCTGTTGAGGTGAGAAAAAGGGAAGTGGGGTTGGCTCCATGTTCATATTTGAGGAGGCAGTTTGGGCGACCATTGCTACCTGGAAAGGTGTATTTATGTCTTTTATGATGTCTCTGCCTCCCTCTGGATCTGTGTGTGTGTGTTGTGTGTGTGTCTTTTTCCTCTCCAACTCTGTTAAGATGTCTGTTGACTGTATTTTCTGTGCACTCGAGGGCTAAGAGTGAGGAGCACAGAGTGTCCACCTGCGTGTCTGTTTTGGCTAAAAAGGACAGGTTTGCATCATTGGTACAAGTGGGTGGAATACAGGACTGGTGGCGCTGTGTGTCAGTGTCCAAAATGTGCTGGAAAAGAGTTGGGGAGGTTTCTAGTCTTCTTGGAAAGGCAGAAAGTGGAATTCATAGGTTTCCTGTAAATTACTTAGTGCGAAGAGCCTTAAATTATACCGTATTATGGCTGGCTCAATCCCTTCGTTTACAGAGGGGGAAACCGAGGCACAAAGCAGGAAGTGATCTTGTCCAAGATCACACACAGTGAGGCAAGTGGCAGGACTCTGGCTTCTCAGTTTCCTTTCTGTTATAGCACTCTGCTTTATCCTGCTTTAATCCCAGCCCTGCCCTCTGTCTCTTGACGAAAGATGGTAAGTCGTGTACCCAGTCATACCTGAGACCAGTGGTTCTCAAACTCCAGGGTGGCATGACTGCCTGGTGCTGTGGACCAACTACCTAATGCTCAAACTATTTGGGATACAGCGAGAGGGAGTCATAATGAACTATTAGTACAGGCCAGTAGCTCCAAGTCTCTCTTGTCATGGGCATGAAAAAATGGGCAGTCTGAGATACAGCTAAGATTTGTTCATTAGACTTTCCCATTGGCACAAGGGAAGGCATGCGTACCATTGTTTTCAGGGGCTGGAAATTTCACATTGAGACAGGAATGGGTTGGGAGAGTGGAAATTGTCACTTTGCTTCCAGGCAGGAAAGAGGTGGTCAGACATACTAAATGATCTGAGAAGGCCTGACCATCAGAAAGTGAAAGGTCGGTCTCCGAGGCCCGTACCCCCTCCCAGCCATCCACCTACCAGAGGTAGAGCAGCACGCCCTGTAGCTGTCTGGGCTTTGTTCTGCCTTTTCTTTGTTTAGCTTCATGCTAAACGTGCCCATGCAGTGAAACTACAGCTGCTGATCCTCAGCTGCTTCCTGGGGGATATTTATCATCGGTGGAGATGGCAGGGAGGGTCTGTTTCTGAGGTTTAGCTGCTTGGTAGGAAGGAAGCGTTTGAGGGACTACACATGCCCCCCTGCCCTTCCCTTGCCCTTAGGAAAGCCAAAGATGTGCTGGACTTGAAATCAGGAACAGCTGGGTTCTGAATCCTAATAGCTGTATGTCCTTGGGCAAGTCTTTAAAGTCAGTCTCAGTTTTGTCATCTGTAAGATGGAGAGGATTCCTGTGCTAGTAATACCACTAGTACAGGAGTGTGAGTGTGAGGATCACTTATGTAAAGTACCTCAACCCTGGGCCCAATCTCTCAGTGCCCCGCCAGTAAAAGTAAAGTAACCTTTATATAAGGTTAGAAATTACAAAAAATGTGGCAATCTGCACGTATCTCTAGGAAATTCCCACACTAGCAACTTCCCAACATCTGTGAATTCACAGATCCGGACCAAGAAATCTAACATGATGAATCAGTAAACTTTTCTGCAAATGAATAAATGAGTGAGAGAAGGAATTTCTGGGGTCTGGGGCTGATTCTCTAGCTAGGGTAGGCCTGTTTTGTGAAGCATTGGATGTCTAGTTTTCAGGGGTTCCTCCATAGTACTCCTGTTTTCCTACTTGGAATAAGGGGGAAATGCTGTCAATATACCTGGCACCCAGGATGGGATTTGGGAGTAGGAAGAAAAAAAAAATAGCGTGTGTGTGTGTGTGTATTATACTTTATACCTCTGTAAGGGCTGCAGAATGCTTTACATATGTTAATACATTGGATCCTAACAAGCTACCTGTGAAGCAGATGCTGCTATCCCCATTTTATAGATAAGGGAAGTGACTTGCCCAGAGTCACACTGCTAATGTATCTGAGGCCAAATTAGAACTCAAGTTTTCTTATCCACCTAGAAGTCTTGGAACTAGGGAGACTGTATTTTACAGTGAAAAGAACATTGTTCTGGAGTGAGCCATCTAGTATTAAATGCCTTCTTCGTGCCAGGCACTGTGCTAAGCACTGTGGATACAAAGAAAGACAAAGAAACAGTCCCTGCCTTCAGGGAGCCCACAGTCTAATGAGGGAGGCAGTATGCAAGCAACTGTGTACAAATAAGACATGTACAAGGTAAATTGAGGGTAGTCTCAAAAGGAAGGCATTGTGATTAAGGAGGACTGGAAAAAGCCTCTTGAAGAAGGTGAGTGTTCGAGATTTAAAGGAAGCCAGGGAAGCCAGGAGGGAGAGAAGAGACGGAGAAAAGAGGCAGGAGGAGAGGGAAACAGGAGGAGGAGGGAGAATGTTTCAGGCATGGGGGACAGTCAGTGAGTTCACTTGAAGTCAGGAGATGGAGGGGCTTGTGTGAGGAATAGTGAGGTCATTGTCCCTGGACCATATGAAGATTGGAAAGATAGGAAGGGGGGGGAAGGTTTTGAAGAGCTTTAGAATCTAAACGAAGGGTTTTATGTTTGCTCCTGAAGGCAATAGGGAGCCTTGGAGTTTATTGAATGAGGTGAGGGTGAGGTGATGTGTCAGAACTGTGCTCTAGGAAGATCAGTGACAGCTGAGTGGAGCATGGATTGGAGAGAGAAAGGAAACAGACACCAACCAGCAACCCATTGCAATAGGCTAGGTCGTGAAGTGATGACCCCATTTTGGGTTTTCTTGGCAAAGATACTGCAGTGGTTTGCCATTTACTTCTTTGACTCATTTTACAGATGAGGAAACTGAGGCAGACAGGGTTAAATGACTTGTCCAGGGTCACACAGCTAGTAAGCTTCTCAGGCTGGATTTGAACTCGGGTCTTCCTGACTCCTGGCCCTATGCTCTACCCACTGCATCACCACTTAGCTGCTTCACGAAAGTAGAAATGACACAACTTGACAAGAGATTGGGAATGGGGGATGAGAGAGTGAGGAGTGAGGGATGACACCTAGATTGTCAACCTGATTGAGTGGGAAGGTGGCAGTCCCCTTGACATTATCAGGGACATTGGGAAGAAGGGAGAGAGAATGAGTTTTAGACATGTTAAGTTTGAGATGTCTGAAAAACAGGGGACCTGGGTTCAGATGCTGCCTTTGACACTACCTCTGTGGTTCTGTCCAGTTTATGTCTATAAGTCTATGATCCTATGAACATCACAATTGTGACTTGCTTTGGGGTGGGAAAAGAATGGAGAAATCCCTGATATGAGTCTGGAGCTCAAGTGAGTTTTCTACATTTTGCTGTAAACCAGCTTGTTCCCCTAGTCAGGGAATGTCTCCTGTCCTTTTAATGAACAGTGCTAGGATCTTCCTCCCGGCCTTCTGATCCAGCATGACCAGATGATTAGGTGGGAGCAGGAGGAGTAGAGAGAACTGAGCCTGGGCTTCCTGGGAAGCCAGGGCAGGGCAGACACCATCCCAGGTTTTCCCAAGGTCTGTCTGGGCTGCATAGATAGATTTCCTCAAAGATAATTGGATTAGGAGCTTTGGGATCTAGGTTGTAATCTTGGTCTGGGGCCCTCCTGCCAAATCAGGTGATCAGACTAGATCTCCACCCTCCCTCCCATCTCTGACATTCTGTGTTCTAAGGGCCCTCCCTGCTCTGTCATTTTATGTTCTAAGGTCACTCCTGGCTCTGACTTTCTGTGTTCTAAGGTCTCTTCTAGTTTTGACATTCTGTATTCTTTGCTTTTATTCCTTCCTTCCCTTACCTCCCACCCTTCAAGAACTTCTGGTTTTTCATTTATTATCTAACCTGGTTTTCATGAACTACTCTGTAAGCTCCCAACCTCTCTTACCATCCTTATTCTTCACCACCCAGCCTGTAACATTATATCAACCCCAGTCAAATTAATCTACTGTTTTATCATGCAAAGAGCACTATATTTGGACAAGATAGATGCTCTAGATTGTATTAAAATTTAAAAAAACCAACCTGTACAAGTAAAAACTACATACAAAGAACAGTAGATTGGGAGACATGGCAAATGTGAAAGCTAACTTGACATTTAAAATATATAAGGAATTGTTAAAAAAAAAAAGACAGTGATAACACCACGTTCACAATGGGTAGGATAGTCAAGAGGAAACGCAACTTATTTGAAAAAATGTTCAACCTCAGTAATAATGAAAACAAATAATAAAATCAAAACCACTTTGTGATCCTATTTCAGACGCATCCGATGGCAAAAAAAATCATGAAAAGCCATGAAAGGGCAGTGGCAAAACAAATCACTTGTTGCTTCTGGAACTGTCCACTGGTAGCAGCTTTCTGGAGAGCCGTCTAGCAAAATGGAGTAAAGGTTACCAAAATAATTATGTCTTTTGACCCATTGATTCCTCTTGTAGGAATAGCCTTAGATAATTGTTAAAAAAAAAAAATCTGTGCATTCAGAGATCTTCCTGATAGCATTATGGGGAATTTCATAAAACTGGAAGCATCCTAAATGGCCAACACCAATGATTAAATGAATTATGGATCTCTAGTGGCAAGTTTATGGGGAAGGGGGAAGAGTAGAACAAAGAAGGAGAAAAGGAAGGAGAGAAGTAAGGAAGGAGGGAAGAGAAGGGAGGGCATTTGGTTTGGCTGCCGAGACACTAACCCAAGAGTGGGGAACCTGTGGCCTCGAGGCCACATGTGGCCTTCTAGGTCCTCAGGTGTACCCTTTTGACTGAGTCCAAGTTTTACAGAACAAATCCTTTTATTAAAGAGATTTGTTCTGTGAAGTTTGGAATAAGTCATAAGGCTCCACTTGAGGACCTAAAGGGTGACGCGTGGCCTCTAGGCTCTGCGTTTCCCACCCCTGCCCTAACCTCTCAGCATCTATTAGGCAAACGCCATCAACTTAGCATGGAATTCTCTTGATGAAAGTCAGAGGGTCCTCTCTTTGTCCTAGGTTATGCCACTGATAGAAATTGGGGTTCACCCTGAAATGGATTGGAGCCCTGAAGGTTCCCTAAGGGCCGATCAGACCTCCTGGGTGGTGGTCCAAGCTCCCTCTTCCCTTCTAACAGTCTTGAGGCATGGAAGGTCCCTCACTTTGATCTCAAATGGAGCTCCCCAAAGAGTCTTTGATACCTTTCTTGTTTTGCTTTTGGGGTGTAGGTAGGGGAACGAGCACTCATTGGCCTTGGAATGGAAGGCCTGGGTGGAATCCTTAATTACTAGTTGGGTGAAGCTCTGGGCAAGTCGCTAACCCTTGATGATTCTCAGTTTCCTCCTCTTAAAATGGAGATAACAATACATAGCTCACAGGGTTGTTCTGAAGAAAGTGAAGTGCCCCGATGAGTAAAGGAAACTGCTTTCGTCTAAGGGAGTGGTCTTTGAGAACCTGCCACCCAATAACAGAAAAGAGAAGACCGCAAGGGATGGCTGCTGCTACATTCTCAAAGAGGACTGTGACATCAGGGAGGTGATGCCGTGACATCACAGTGAACTGGAGTGAAGTGAAGCAGGGTTGTGCGAAGTCACCAGCCTCACGTTCTCCTCCAGAGCCATCTGGGTCCAGTGGCAAGATATTCAGTGAGTAGGAGTGATCTCTTTTTGAGGTATAAATGAGTCCCCTGAATGAATCAGAAGGGAAATGGCTCAGTCGATTGAAGGTTAAGTCACTGAGTCCAGGAGACAGACTGGAAGAGGAATCTAGCTCCTGATTGGAGAAACTGGAGAAAGGTAAGCTTTCTAGAAAGGGAGGAAGCTAGAGAAAGGAAAGCCATATGGAGTGGAGGGAGTGGAAGAGCAGGCAGAAGCCCTGGGTGTGAAGAAAGGGACCAGGTCTCTGTGCATGAGGCTCCCTGGGTAGATTAGGTATGTAGACAAGAAAAGTGCTATTGAATTTCCTTCCCTACCCCAACTACAGACTGGAAGGAGGTAATCCTGCATCTCTTTTTCTCCTTCTTCACGGGAGCTAGAAGCCTTTTCCCCTGGTGCTGATAAGGGTAGGAGAGAGAGAGTTTGCTTATCCTTCTTTGTTTTCAATATTTATTTTGTCTTTACAAACTGTGGTGACCTCTGACAGTTGCTATTTTGGCTGTACTTACTGGGAGTGCAGTTGGAAGGAAGTCACTAAGGGAAGACAGATCTAACACTGAGATGTTGTGCCTTAAGCATCACCTGCTGGGGGCTCTGAGCCAACACAAAGATACAGAGAATCATAGGTCCCTTGATATTGTCTCCTTCTGTGGTGCATTTATTCTGGGGAAAAAAATCTGGGCAATGAGTTTGTAGTAGAGTGAGGGGTAAATAGAAGTGGCTGAACAACCCTGATTACCACACCATCCCATTAGCACTGCTACACAAGAAATGTGAACACCATGGTGTCATTGAAAGAGAGTTGGACTTGGAATTGGGAGCCAGGGGCCCTGGGTTGAATCCTGGTTATGACACTTTGTAACCTTGGGCAAATTATTTTGCTTTTCTGAGTCTCAACTTCCTAGTTTGGAAAGCAAGGGTAATATTTGTGCTATCTAGCTTTTAGAGAAATGCTTTTATGATGCTTAAAGTGCTCTTAGAAATGCAAGTGATTGTTATTAGCATTAGTGGTTGTTCTGAGAAGCATCATATGGTAAATTGCATATAGGAGGCTAGCCTTGGAGTCAGGAAGACATGAGTTCAAATCCTGCCTCAGACACTTATTAGTTGTGTGACGCAACAATAGTTTTGAGGAACAGGATTAAGGGTAGGAGGGTCCCACAAGTGAGCCTAGGGATGGTGTCGTCAGATGTAACATCTTTAGGGTGCTTGGTGTTGGGCAAGTAGGAGCCCTCAGGGGTATATATCAGGACCCTCCTGTTAGGTAGATAAAATAATTTCTTCATTTGTAAAATGGGGGTGAAAGTGAAGCCCAAGGAATTCAAGTGATTTGTTTGAGGCAGGTGGAATCCGTGGCCTCGAGGCCACATGTGGCCTTCTAGGTCCTCGGGTGCAGCCTTTTCACTGAGTCCAAGTTTTACAGAACAAATCCTTTTGCGAAGGGGATTTATTCTGTAAAGTTTGGATTAGTCAAAGTGCCGCACTTGAGGACCTAGAGGGCCACATGTGCAGGCTCCCCACCCCTGGTGGGAGGTCATGCAGTGAGTAGCATAGCCAAGACTAGACATAGACTAGAATCTTGCCTGGTTCAGAGTTCTTTCCTCTAGAAGACACAATTCCTACCCTCAGGGCACGATTAGGGAAAGATTGGGAGAACCTGAAGGAGAGACTGAAGGAAGGAAAGGCGGCTGAAGACCTTAGGAGTTTGGGCCTGGGGTGGCAAGACAGGGAGGAGCAGTGAAGCAGGTAGGGACTGGTAAGCTGCCCAGAGCCATGGCATTGAAGACAGCCAGAGAGCATTTCCCCTGCCCGCTTCTTCAGGTGCTAGCACGAGGCTGAGGGCGGGGGCATGGACCCTTCAGTGTTCATCAAGTCCCAGGTAGGGAGAGTTCAAAGCCATGTACAATCTGACACCGCTTGCTGAATTAAGCTCGGTGCTAGATTTTGTGTTGACAGCAGATTTCTCTTCCTGTTCCGTAAAGGGTGTTTGTACTGCCTGAGCAGACACTCACTCTGAGAGAGGAAAGCCGTCAAAGTTGGTTTTTTTTTTTTTTTTTGGGCCTGGGGGGGAGGGTAGCAGTGGACGAAGAAGGAGGGAGAGAGGGGAGAGTCTGGGTCAAGATTCCATGAGTGCAATGCCCAAATGTGTAGTGGGAGACCTTCCATTGCTGAGGGGTTGGACCAGGCAGGAAGCCAGCCTTCTAGAATTTATCTTCTCTAGCTTTGCTGCCTTGCTCCTGGAAGGGAAACCTGGAAAAAACAAGGTGCTTGGAGCTCTTTCCTACTCCTAAGACTGGAAAATGAACTCCCCCAAACATTCCCCTGTCCCCACCCTCATGGATACCATGGGCTAAGCTCCACCTTATCTCCTGGGGCACCTCGCCCAACTTGGGCTTTTTCTCCCTTTCATTTCTTTCTCCTTTATGGCTACTGTATCTCTCTGCTCTGCCTGGTGTCCCTTCTTTTCTCTCTCATCTCTCCCCCTCTCCTTCTTCTCTAAGTTGTTCCTTTCCCCTTCTATTTCTTCCTTCCTCTCATTTCTCTCTCTGTCCTCTCCTTTCCCTGTCTCCTATCTCTTCTCTGTCTCCCTCCTTTTCTCCCTTTTTCACTTTCTCTCCACCTCCCCACCTTGTCTTGGTTTCTCTCCTGGCTTTCTTTTCTGTCTACCTATCTGCCTCTCTCCTCTCTTTTCTCTCTCTCTCTCTCTGTCTCCCTTCTCCCCACCCCCTTCCTAATGTTCTGGTCTCCTTGACATTTCTGCTCTTGCGCTAGGCTAGGGAAGCTGTCTGTGGTGGAGCCAGCCATGGGCTGACAGCTCAGCCATCTGTGTGGAGGCTCTCTGGGGTCACGGTGTTTCCTCACTGGGGGTGACTTGGTCATGGTACACTCTGTTTCCTCATTTCTACAGTTTCCAGCCTGAGTCTAAGCCTGGGCTGGGGCCGCAGCTGGCTGACTGATAGGACACCGGGAACCTGAGTCTACTCCTGGTCTGGGACAGTAACGTGCAGGTAAGAGGGAACTTGATTGGGTTTTGAGATTGGAAGGGGAGAAGGAAGGGAGGCTGGGATAACTCCAGACCCCTCAGGCTGGCAGGAGGCGGCATGACCTTCGTCTCACTGCCTCTGACGTGGTGCCCACCTCAGATCAATAGCAATATCCAGAGCCATCCTTAGAAAGAACCCTGAATGACAAGGCTCCTCCAGGAGGACCTCATCTCTTGGGTCTTGGTGGGTCAGATTGGTGCTGAGTGTGACTCTGGATCTCTGCTGAGAACCAAAGGGGTGGGCTGGGGTGAGGGGAAGGTGGAGAGCAGATGGAGGGAGGTAGGAACTGCTGGGCAGTGAGTCTTAGCTACCCTAATGTCCTTGCCCTGAATTCCTACGTGGCATCTCCCTGGGAATAGTAGTACCAGTCTGGCTCAATAGAGGACACAGGGCTGCAGAAGCTCTAGGAACTATATATACATATATATTATATATATAACTATATATAATGGCTGGGGGCAGATATGATAGAGGGTCTGGGTAAAAGGCAGAGTAAGAACTCTTGAGCTCCACCAGATACCAGCAGCTTCCCCAGGCTGCCTTTTCCTAGGATTCTCTGCTGCAGTCATCGCCTCTCACCCACTCTATGTCCCCCACCCCTTCCTTTGCCACGAGCTCCAACTCTTTTGCGTTGGGGCGTTGGCCCCATCGGCAGGAGCCACCACTAGAGAGTCCCAAGCCCGCAGAGCCCGCCAAGAACCCCTAAGAATGTTACATCTGAAAGGGATGGGCCTCAGATCACCCAGTTCAATCCTTCACTTTGCATAGGGAGCTCCGGGAGATGGCTTACCTAATTAGGGTTACTCAGTGGCAGAGACCAGGGGTCCTGGTTCCCGGGCTGAACAGTGCCTGGCACATAGTAGGGCCTGAATAAACTTAATTGATTGATAGAATCTCATCGTCCCTTGAGACCCTGCCCCAGAGGACAGATGGCCTTGGCTGAGAGACAGAGCAGCTAGCTGAACGCGGAATCTAGGTCAGGGATGGGTTCAGCCAGCACTGTGCCTCTGTTCATTCTCCCTTCCACAGGAAGCTTGCTCAGTGGTTGGACTGACATGGATCACAGCCTGGTCACTGGTACAATGCTGATGATAGCTTAGCTTTCAGGAGCTCTTCTTAGAAACCTCCCGAGTTCTAATTTAGCACTGGGAGTGGGGGTGGGGTGGGGGTGGAGAAAGACACTCAACCCCCTGCTTTTGAGGAAGTGATCCTCCAGCAGGGGAAAGAAAGCACAGCACACACTGGGTGGGATGTGGTGAAAAGAGTCCCAGACCCCAGGAGAACGGAGGGTCTGCTTCCAGCTCAGCCACCAAACTTGGTAGACCTTGGGCATATCCCGCCTTCCTTCTGGCCTTAGGGTGGCCTGGCCCAGACAATTTCAAAAGATCCGTCCAGTTTACAAAATGGTTTCTTGGAAGGTCCCCCTGCTTTTTGAATCTGGGAAGCTAAGTGTTCTCCAAACTGAAGCAGCGCATGAAAACCTTCTCACCCACACCCATCCAGGAAGAGTAGGGCTCTCAGGAATAGCCTTTTTAGCTGTTCTGGTGACCTCACAGAAGGGAGGGAGGAGCAGTGAACTGAGCCCCATGACCTGGGAAGATGTTGAGCTACATTTCAGAGGTTTTGTTAGAAAGAGATAGTCCCCCCTTTGCCCAGGAGGCTTGCATCAGTGGCCTTAAAACCAGATAGTGCTAGAGCTGGAAGAACCCTTGGAACATAGGATGTCAGATCTAAAAGGGATTTTGGAACACAGAATGTCAGAGCTAGAAGAAACCATAGAACACAGAATGACATACCTGGAAGGAACTTTAGAACACAGAATGTTAGACCTGGAGGGACCTTAGAACACTGAATGTTAAAACTGGAAGGAATCTTATAACATAGGTTACGGAGGCAATGTGGTATACTGGGGAGGGTGCTGGGACTTGCAACAGGAAGACCTGTATTTGAATCCTGTGTCAGACACTAGCAGTGTGGCTTTGGGCAAATCACCTAACCTTTCTGAGCCTCAGTTTTCCTCATCTATAAAATGGGAATCATAATAACATCTAAACCACCAGGTTGCTTTGAAGATCAAATGAGCTACTGGTTATAAAGTGTTTTGCAAACCTTAAAGCACTCTATACATGTTAGCTACTATTATTATTAACACAGAATATCAGAACTGGAAGGGACCTTAAAGGGCCAACCTCTTTGTTTTAAAGAAAGCAACTGGGGTAGTTAGGTGGCACAGTGGATAAAGCGTTGGCCCAGGAGTCAGGAGGACCCGAGTTAAAATGTGGCCTTGGATACTTGACGCTTTCTTACTGGCTGTGTGACCTTGGGCAAGTCACTTAACCCAGACTGTGTCTCAAACAAAACAAAACAGAAAGAAACTGAGGCCCAGGAGGAAGAAATGACTTGCCCAAAGTCAAGCAGAGTTAGAATCCTCCCTCAAGACCAACCATAGGCCTTTAGTACTTTGGCTTCTTGGAGAAACAATATTTCCATTCCTGCTGGACCTGGGGTCCTTAGTGCCTTAGTCCAAGATAGATAGGTCTGGAGCACCAATTTGACTCAGTCCCAGAGAGTGATGGTAAGAGCTGCAGGAATCGATGTGGCTGCTCCCATGACAAATGGGCTGGGGCTCATTCTGCTGGCGTGGTGGACAGTTTGATGAATTGCTAGCCTCGGTGCAATGGGGGTGAAAAGGAAAGAGCTGGGAAGGAGGAGATTCTCAGGGCTCCCGAGAAGCAGAGCCCGAACGGTGCAGGCTGGAGGCAGATAAGGTTGTGTGGGATATTTGTGGCTTTTGTGGTACTTTCCTTCTTGGGGAGCCTGTCACCAGCAAGAAAGCAAGAGCTGCTAAGGAGTATGTGCCTCCCCAGTTTCCTCTCCCCTGTCCTTCCCCTCCATCCCCAACATTCTCCATCATCCCAGCCTGGGCTCCTTCCTACCTGGAAACTCTGGTTTTTAAGATAAGAGTAATAATAATAACTAGCATTTATATAGCCCTTTACAGTTTGCAAAGCTCTTTATAAACATCATCTCATTTGATCCTCACAACAACCCTGGAAGCCATTTTATAGTTGAGGAAACTGAGGCAGAGTTCAGTAACTTTCCCAGGATCACACAGCTTTGTGGCTTGGAGATCCTTTCCTTCCTGGGGAGCCTCTCACTAGCAAGAAGGCTAGAACTACTAAGGTGAATATGTATCCTCAGTTCCAGGCTTTCTGCCTCCTTCCCCCTTCCATCGAAGTTGTGTGAGGCGTGATTTGAACTTCGAGCTTCCTGTTTCAGGCCAAGCTCTCCACCTATTAGCAGATCAGAAGGGAACTCTTTCAGGAAGGTTTGCTTTGGGGTGGGGGGCTTTCACAATTTGAGCATTGGACTGTCGGTGAAGAATGATGTTAGAAAAAAGAGAACAGAGGTCATGAAGCAGATCTGACTCCTCCGTCCTTTCCCCGGCTCATTCAGACGTCCCAAAGGGGAGGTAGTAGCTCCTTATTGGACTGACTTTGGAGAGGAGAATGCTGAGCCCTAGTGTCCTAGAAGGGAGGTAGAGATGGACAGAGGCTGGTCCAGGAGGTTTGGGTGTGTACTCAGAAAATCATCCCTTATCAGCCCTGGAAGTGGCCTTCGAATGTGGAATGTCAGAGCTGGGAAGGGCCTTAGACTACAGTCAGACAGATCTAAGCCAACATGTGGAATGGAGAATGGACTGAAAGTCTGTGCTCTGTGCTGTCTTTGGGAGAGTGCAGAGGTATGTCACAGGGTCCGGTCCTGGGTCTGGGGACACTTGGTAATAGCCATCAGTGATTTTTTCAGAGCTCTCAAGAGCCCGAATGAAAGCGGTCTTATCATTTCTGATTCTCTTCCTGCTGCTCCTCTCCATGGTAACAATTCTACCGGCTCACATTTCTAGTAACAGGTTACAAGGTACCTTCCTCATGACACATCGGTGAGGCAGTATCATTATCCCTGTTTTACAGAGGGGAAAGCTGAGGTTCAGAGCATTGAAGCCCAGGCGGGACAACCCTTTCTGTCTCTCCCCTTCCCCCTGGCCTTCTTTCAGCTCTACGTCCAAGGCTCTTCTCTGTAGAAAGCACTGATTCTCTCCCGTGGACCTACCTCCATTTCCCACCCAGATCAGATCGAACATTCCTTACCCCTGAGACTGGCTAGGGAAAAAGGCTTCTTTCTTTTCCAGAGTCAGGGGAAGAGGCAGGTTTCCCCACTCCTCTGAGTCCTGTGCCCCTACTCTCCCCCATGACAAAGGCTTCTAGTGAGGGAACCCCAATTAGCTGGGTCAGACTTCACTAGAGGGGAGGGACAATGCTTCCTAGGCCCACCTCTCAGCGCTTTCCCTCAGGGTCCAGTTTGGACAGTGTGCAAAGTAGTGTAGATCATTCATAACACCATCTGCCAAACCCTATCCGATTCCTTGTCAGGGACCCTGAAGTGGCTATAGCCAAGCATTGTGGCCATATCTGGGGACCCATGCCAAGGTGGAGTCTTTTACAATACAAAGGAATTTCTTCTAAACGTTCCTTTGTTAAATATGGGGACTGAAAATGGCTGGTCTACCCAGGCACTGTGGTACAGTGGAAAGAGAATCTTTGGAGTCAAAGGACCTGGGTTCAAATCCTACCTCTGACATTTACTACCTGAGTGACCTTGAGCAAGTCACCTAATCAATTTGGGTCTTAGTTGCCTCATCTATAACAATGAGAGAGTTGGACTAGATGACCTCCAAGGCCCTTTCTGGCTCTCGATCGGTGACTCGATGGTCCTGGAACAGGGTGTACATGAAAGGCCACTGGGTTGGGTGTCCCAGAGTACTAGGAGATGCTGGGATGAAGGGGGAGGAGGGTGTGGTTGTGGAGGATAATAATAATGAATTCATCTTTTTTTATTGATTTAGAGTTTGCAAAGTACTTTTAAAAAAAATGTTTTATTGATTTTTAAAAAAATACTATAGTCATTTCCTGATATGCCTCCCTTCTGCCATATTGAATCTTTTTTTATAACAAAGGAAAATGGTGAAGCAAAACCCACCAACAAAGCTATCAGGTCTGAAAGAACATGTACCATGCTGCCCCGTGGGTCCCCCGCCTGTCTGTAGATAAGGTCCCAGGGTCCTAGATTTGGAGCAGGCAGGACCCTTAGAATTCATCTAGTCCAACCCCTGCCATATTTTCAGTGGTCAGCATTGGACCTGGTAATTTTTTAGAGTCCCGTTGTGTCAGAGCCCTGGGCCTGAAGTCAGGAGAACTCATCTTCCTGAGTTGAAATCTGACCTCAGATACTTGCTAGTTCTGTGACCCTGCGCAAGTCACTTAACCCTGTCTGCCTCAGTTTCCTCATCTGTAAAATGAGCTGGAGAAGAAAGTGGCAAACCACTCTAGTATCTCTGCCAAGAAAACCCCAAATGGGGTCAGGAAGAGTGGAACCCAACTGAACAACAACAACACCAATTTTTGTTTCCAAAACACTTTCCTCAGGACCATACTGTAAGCTTTCTAGTGCAGATGGTATTAGCTTGGAAGGCCTCGCTGTTTTTTTTTTTTTAAGACAATTAGGGTTAAGTGACTTACCCAGGGTCACACAGCTAGTAAGTGTCAAGTGTTTGGTCTGAGGCTAGATTTGAACTCAGGTCCTCCTGACTTCAGGGCTGGTGCTCTATCCACTGTGCCACCTAGCTGCCCCTAGCTCACTGGATTTTGAATCCAAGGAGCTGGGTTTGAATCTCACTTCTCTACTTCATATGTGCTATCTGTGTGACCTTGGACGAGTTATTTCTCTCTCTTTGTTAAAATGGGGTTTGGACCAAACCTGGAGGTCTGTTTCATGACCCCTTTGGCAGAGGTAAAGCCTCGGGGCCTCTTCTCAGAATAACGGTTTTTAAATCCATAAAATAAGGTACATCAGATAACAAAGGAAACCAGTTATATTAAGATAATAGTAAAAAAACAAAACAAAACATCAAACCAGGTCCATGAACCTGAGGCTGAAAACCCCTGGATTAGATGGACTCTGGGCTCCCTTCTCATAACTAATGCCAGGAGAAGAAAAGGGACCTGACCATGGTCACAGGGCAGAGTTA